CTTCTTTTGTGAGCACTCTTATTTGGAGATTGTCCCCTTTTTCACTGCAGATCTTAACAAAATTTAAAAATTCACTCCTTCAGGTTAACCAAAGAATGGTGGTTAGGATTATATTTTTAACATATGTAGTTTTCATCTATGTAGTATTACAAGTATGAAATGTGTGAGGGTTATCATGACTAATAATCTGAGCAGTGCTCAAAGAATATTTTTGTCAAGGTACCTATTTAGTTTTTATATTCTCAGCTCATTCATACATGGCAACTGCTAAATGCCAGAGAGCCTCTTATCATTCATTAATTTTCTGTGAATATTGACTTGACAAAAAATATAAAAATGTAAAACTGGGATATTACCTACTAGAGTTAAAAAAACAAAAACAAAAACACCTAAATACTGCAATAAACTTAGTACAGATTTGACCGCTATCCATTTCTAACTCCAAAACTGCAAACATCTATAACTTCTACATATTTCTTCCTAACACTGACTTCTAAATAAAGTCTTGAAGTCTTGTCATAGATATTCCTTTTTAAAAAAATAGGTTGGTAATGTCACAGAAAATTTTTATTTAAATGAGAGCTTTGGGATAAATAACATTTTAATTAACATGAATGTCTCAAGAATGTTAAAAACTTCAAAGGCTTACTTTTCTTTTATGTAATTTATATTCTATCATCCTTGAAATCAGTAGGAATTTGGTCTTTTCATTAACTCCAAGTCCTAAATTCAAAATCACACTGAGTACTATATTTCAATGAGAATCATGATCCTCATATCACTGAACACAAAATGTATTCTTGCACACTTCAATACCTATTTTAAATCTATAAAAGTGAATGAAAGGTTGACAATGAAAGAAAATGGACATAACACTGCAAACCCTCAAATACTGGAATTAATGTAATATACTATTGTGTAGATAAAACATGATCATTCCATGGATAGGTCAGGAAAAAGTTCAGTTTGCAACTTTATTCTTCCCAACAAAATGGATTATCTTTTCAAAAGTGGACTTTTCTATTTATGACATAGGAGCAAAATACATGGAATTCACTATCTTTCCATACTTATATTCATTCTTCTTTCATAGTTTATTTCATGCTTCATAAATTTCAGTAACAAATGCTCATGAACTTCCTGGGGAAAATATATTTTGCTGAAGAAAAGCAGTTTGGAGAGTTGAGAAACAAAATATGGGGGAGTATGTTGTTGCTATACATTATTTGGTAACTTTGTGTATTCTTGTAGTAGATATGGTATTAAGAAATGAACATTCAAACCCCGATCTTGCCATTTTCATTTTACAAAGATAATCTGCCTTACCTTTCAACAGACTAATTGAGATTTTAATAGTTCTTAAAAATTTAAAAATGCTACTAAAAGTTATAAAAATCTGTAATTCCAAGAAAAAGGTTTGCTCTAGAATATAAAATCCTGGCAACTATATATTGTGGAAAATATCAATGTCACTATTGCACCAGAACTACTATTTTGGACATAGTTTTGTTCCTGTTATATGAATATAGAATAAATCCAGTAAGTTCTAATACGTGTGCAAATAATTTATGCTGTTCTCCAAAGCTAGGTGTTTATACTTAATGTGCTTTGTAAAAGATCAAATTCAAAATGCATCACAGATTTTAAAAACAAGTGTACTTTGACCCAGCAGTTCTGAGAATATATCTTGAAAGAATAATCAAAGATGTTCAGGGATACAGCACCATTTATATTAAAATTAAAAAATGGGCCGAAACCGGTTTGGCTCAGTGGATAGAGCATCGGCCTGCGGACTGAAGGGTCCCAGGTTCGATTCCGGTCAAGGGCATGTACCTGGGTTGCGGGCACATCCCCAGTAGGAGATGTGCAGAAGGCAGCTGATCGATGTTTCTCTCTCATCGATGTTTCTAACTCTCTATCTCTCTCCCTTCCTCTCTGTAAAAAATCAATAAAATATATTTAAAAAAAAAAATTAAAAAATGGGTAGGCCTTAAGTGCCCCAAATGAGGATTGATCCAATACATTATGATTCATCTACAAATGGAGGAGCTTTGAAAATGGTATGAATCTGTTATAAATGAAAAGACAACAGAATAATATATATTATATAACCCCACTTAAAAATGTCTAGTGATCATTTATAGATGAGAGGCTTTCTATCATCCTACCTTTGTCTTTTTATTTTCAATGTCTAGTTGTAACATATGTGTGATTTTGAAAAAGGATTTTAAAAGACCAAATGCATTCATACATTATACCGAAACATTTTTCAGGTTAAGTGAAAGCTGACAACATGCTCAATCTGCAAATATTCCATGGGGGCTGGCTATATATAATTATTTAAATGTAAAATATATAATTATTTTAAATAACTTTATCAAGTGTGTCATTATTACCCAAAGTTCTCTCCTATTTCACAACTAGATCTAACTAGATTTTTATCAAGACATATGCACTTGGAGACAATGTATTCTCATAAAAGCAGTGCCACTAGTGGAAAAGTTTATTATCAAGCTTTTTTAACCCAGATTATAGATGACAGAAGGTATATCTGTAATGAAAACATATTTTATCACTTGATAAAATAAAATATAAAATGAATATGCTGAATGCTGGAAAAGTAAATTAAATCAGGAGAAATGTTTCAAATGAAAACTGAAAATTATGTAAGTTCTACGAACTTGCAAAGGTTGACAATGTAAGTACTTTACATCAAATTCCACTTTAGAATCTATGGCAGTCCTTTGACATATTTTCATGCTTGTTTTGGTCCCCAAATGGAATAAAGAGCTAATTTCTGGCAGTAGAGGCAGGAATTAGGGAGAATAAGAGTATATAAGATTTGTATATGTATGAGAAAAAAAAGCCATTAGGCCAAAAAACAGATTGGTACCAAAGGTGACTTAGAACAATTTAAAGTGAGAATGGAGGGCAAAGAGGGAAAGAGGCAATGTGAAGCCATTTCTTTATTTAAACATTTCCAGAATTCTCAATTGTGCAATGCCTGAGGGCTGCACATTTTTCTTTCTATTGATGCAACATGAAGGACAATTTTAAAAAGTTAACAACTGCTTTTAAGTAAGACTATTTTATTTAAAATTTTTTCAAAATATAAAAATAATAAACATTATGGATATTTAACAAAACATAATTCAACTATAAATAAAAATGTTTGACAACCCCACATAAACATGTAATACTATAAACATTCTAAGCATACAAGAATTTTCTAGTTCAAGTTTTACTTTTTTCAAGTTCAAGTTTTCATACTTAAATTAAAAAAAAGCTGCTACAGCTTAACCAATTTCTTTCGCTCCACTCAAAGAGCAGGGAATTTTTCCCCATGCCAACACGCATTCATGAAATGGATACTTATGGGCACAGGTATTAAAAACTGGAACAATCCAGTCTCCAGACAAGAAAAGATTCCTTTGGTGTTTTAAGTTCAACAATCCACAGAAGTTGAGTTAAATTAAACCACTTATTAAAGGAAATCTTGTGCCAGACATGTTCTATCACACCCAGAACAGGTTCAGGATTCTAAGAATAAAAAATAAACACCTACGAATGCTTTGCTGATACTTAAAAAATTGTATCTTAAGAACATTCACTAAGGTGCTGGAATAAAGTTTTGTAGATGGAGAAAACAATCTACACATTAACACAAAACTTGTACAATGTAAATAATACATCTCTTTCCAACTCATCAAATGTTCTATAAATATTTAAGAATTACCCTGCCTCCTGTTGAGTAAAAGAAAGACAAATGGGAATTTAAAGCAGAGCAGGATTACACCATATTTTCAGACTAGAAAAGTTTTCTATTTGAAATATAGGAAAACTGAGCCATGCTGAATGTTTCATTTTTTAATTCTGGCCAGGTTAACACAGTTCCTCCCATCAAAAGAGCCAATGATAAGCTGAAGAAGCAATTTCTTTTGGGGAAGCTGGGCAAAAATAAGTACGTCATTCTGCTTATCTTTAAATTATGGGGTATTTTCTAATGGACTGGGCTCTTTATTCACCACAGACCACTTTTCTACTTATGCTGTTAGAAGAAAATAAGTCAAAAGCAATCATAGATGAAAGCCTAGCAGTCCAAACAACAGATTCAAAAATGATATTGAAAGGTTTTATAGCACCAATGACTTTTTCCTAAGACACTTTGGGGCTGCATCACTTATTTATCTTGTAAACAAGACCAAAATATTCAATCAATTTGTATTTTGAGATAAATATTTATAAACTCTATTTTAAAAAACAAATATAGCATGACTAGAACAGCTAATAGTGTAAAATCCAAGTATATTAAAAATATAGATATAAAAAAGGTTTCCATAATGCAATCATGCAGCGGTAAACTGCATCATTCAATTACACAAGTGATTCTGTACAGTTATCTACACATAGCTTCATGAGAATCTTATTCAGGAAAATGAAATAAAAATCCTTCTTTAATCAATCAACATATGGGAATTTAACTACTTAACTGATCTACTGGATCTCACAGCAATTTCCAAAAAGCGCAATGATCTTAATGAGAATCAAATCACCTTGACTCTGATTCAAATGGTAGTTCATTTTGTTTTGCTTTATTTTGTTTTTAAGGCAAGGGAAAAACAGGAAGATGACAAAATAAAGTTGAGGGCAGTAGTATGTGGTCCACATCCATTAACCAACTAGAACTGTTAACAGCAAATATGGTCTCAGAAAACGTTCTTTAGGTTTCTAACCTAGCACGGAAACCACTATTAGATGGGCAGAGCATCTTTCCTTGAAAAAATACTGAATTAATCTGAAAAAATATTTACAAACTCGCTATATGATAGTTTGCAAATTAAAACTAAAGTTTAATTTTAAAAAGGCCTTGTATACTAGTAGGTCATAATTATGTTTGAATACCTTCCAAAGTCTGTACTTTTCCTTCAAACCAAGCCTCATATTAATCATGCTGTCTCCAACTAATGTGGATCAAAATAGATCATTTACATTATGATAAATGTGTTCATTCTTTTTATTTTTCATGAAGACAGAGGCAATGCACACTCAATAAAGTGTTTACAGAATAGTCAACTTTGCACGCAAAAAAAAGTGAAAATATAGCATGGACAAGGGTGAACAGAATCAAGTGTAGTTTGGACTTTCCTAATAAAGAGTTTGTACCAAGAATAACTTCTTTCTCAAATGTCTCATGAGAATTTGAAGAAATATTCAAAAACTGATTTTGAAAACTTTTTTAATGGCACCCATTATAAAAGGAGTGTTTTTGGTAAATACCTGGGTTAAATTAAATCATGTTCTATAAATAATTCTATGCCATATTATTAACACTAGTAATATTAATAATTGCTTACTAATAATATGGGCATATGCCTTTTAAAATAGGAAAATTATAGTGTCTTTAACAATGTAAGACACACAATATTCTTTCCCCTTGCTTTCAAGATTGTCTTTGATGTCTTGACTGTGAGGAAAATATGGAAAAACTTGTAAACTAGACATTTAATAGATATTTTTCAATATTTATACTCCACAGGTCATCATCCTGCAATACTTGAAAAGAAAGAAAAATAGTCTCCTTGTTGGTTTTAAAGAGCTAAGGACTTTAAAATTATTCAGATAAGTGGTCTTGGGAACAACTTGAGTAAATATATTTAGAAGAAATAGGCAAGTGTGTGTAAAAAAAAGTATTTTACCATCTGTCCAAAATATTTAACTGACTATTCTAACCCCAGAAATATAACCTTTTAAAACCCAGAAAATTTAAAAGTATACCCATGCTTAAATTTTCAATCATTTTCTTCATTCTAAATTGTTCGTGTTAATTAACACAGCATCATGGCTTTATAGATTTCCTAGACACAATTCTGAAGTTGACTGAGACTGAACTTTTGCCATACTAGGAAACCAAGAGGTCTTTTGTCTTCTTATGGTGTAAAAAAAAAAGGAAGTAAAGGGGAGAAAACATTTAAGAATAAGGTCAGACAAAGCACACACTCAGATATACTTCTGGACTCAAATGTACCCTTAGAGAACTGTAAAGATAAAATGCTAATTATAGTACATGTAAACATCTATTCAAATTGATAAAAGGCAAACATAAAATAATAGAGTTATTATAACAGTCGTCTCCAGACAGGAACAGATCTTGCTGTTGTAGTCACAAAGCTAAATTCAGGCAATGATGATCTCTCTCTGCTGGAAAAAGAGAAGACTATTAAAAAAAACTCTGAAAATCATAAATGAATCTAAACATTGAATCACACCATAAATTGATCTCCAATTTTTCTAAACTTAAAAAAAGGTCTACTTGAGAAAGGATCAAAATCAAAGTTGTAGACAGATCTATTTTAAAAATCAGCTTGATTTTTTAATGAAACCTCTGAGGTGCATTATGCTTCCTTAAAACATTAAGCTGCAAAGATCACAGCTCTACAACACGTCTATCATCTAAAAATTATGGTTAGGAAATGTAGTAACTGACCAGATAGCAAATTTTATAGAGGTATCGGTAGGCAAAGTAATTTGAAAAAATCATGAGCAAATTCCAAGGTATTACAAATAAAAATGAAAGCAAAAACAATTATCTTAAGTTTCCCCAAAATTTCAAAGTAGTAGCAGGGTACATCTAATTACCTTAAACTCCACATGATAATCATGTCATTCTTTAGTCACACTATATGACATAAAATTCTATACTAAGCACAATGATTAACAAAAATAAATAAAAGGAACACATCAAAATGAGGCAGTGCTTGGTATACACAAGAAGGCTAATTTGTATGATGGGGAGATGAGTAGGTAGATGAAATGAAGTAACAAGGAAACAGGGATAGGAACAACTATAATAAACTGATTCCAGAAAAGTAAAGTAAAAAATGCTTTCAATTACACTAAGTAATGAATAACATAATACTTATAAACTGAAAGAAAATTTACCAAATTAGACATTTTTCAACTAAACAATGTTTTCATTAGAAATTACTGAGCATGGCGGTCATGTTCACCAAAATTTGTTTGAGAACTTTTAGGTAGCTATTTTGGAAATTATCTGCTGTCATCTGACAGGTATATAATAATCAGAGAGAGAGAGAAAATTACTCTTCTCTAAAAGCCTGCGTACATACCTTAGAGCAACTAGCCAGTTCAAGAAGTTAACAAGAAAAAGGTAGTTCCTGAGTCTGGGAAAAGGACATTTTTCTTTCTGCCTGACAAATGTTATACACTCATGATTTAATACTAGGTTAAATTTCCACTTTTAATTTATAGGGTTTTAGAAGAGTAAGAAAAACCCTGAAAGACCAAAAAGTGAAATTACTTAATTACCCAGAATTTCATGCAGGATATTTTTTGTTTTAAAAGGCTAAAATATTTTTGTAAGGGATTTAAAAAAAAAAGCTTAAATTTTTATATAAATTCTAGAAGAAGTAAAAATAATTTTCTATAATTAGTTCACATTGTAGGTAAGGGGAAAATGAAAATATAGATGATAAGGTTTGATAATACTGTAAGATAACCATTGGTATTTTAACATAACCAAACAAGCAACTATCTGCTTCCTTTCTATATAACCTTTAGAGTCAATGATTAGTGTTCCAATTAAGATTGGAAATACACTCTTCATAAAACAGTTCTAGTAACAGGAAATTTCCTTCAATTAAACTCAGCCATTCTTTCTACAGATAATCAGCTAACACAGTGAAATCTTGTCTTCATAGTAAACTACTAATTGATACATTTGATCATATTGCAATAAAACAAGCACTATGCAATACTCTCCCATTCCTACAACATGATTTCAATAAATGCTTGGGCATTGGTTAAATACTAAAATTAAATTTTAAAATGTTACAATTATCCAATAACATTTAAAACAACACTGCTTAGGTTGAGACAGAAAATACTGAATATGTAAAATGACAATTCAACCATCCCTTGAAGTAATCCTAATCAATCTTTTATCCAATAATACATAATTTTCCTTAATTTTTTTCCTGTAAGCAGTAGTTAACTACATTATTCTCAATCCTTTTTTCACTCCCAATTCAGCCCAGATCTATACTTAATAAGAGAACTGTATTTAAAAATGTGTTTCAAGTTTTAGGTAGCATATTATAATAGGAAAGAGTTTTAAACTTTGAATTCAGAAGTGAATGGAAGAGTTATAAGCAGAAAGGAAAAGTGCTAGTGAATACAGAAGTTAATCCATACTTCATAGGCTAAATGAAATTTGTGCCAGCAAAGGCAAGCATTTGAGAATACTATATATAAAACTGTACTAAGACACATAATATGAATTATCATAACCAAATTGAAATTGTTTCAATTGACAAGACAGAAATAGTAGCAACAAGTATGTAGAATTGGTATAGATATATTAAATTGTTTTAGATTAAACGCTAATATACACCAGGGAAGCTATAAATGTGAAAGGAAACTTAGAGATCATCTAGTCCAACCACTTTCATTTTACAGACAAGGAAACTGCCCTGGATAAGTTAAGAGACTTATCTAAGGCCACAGAGTGAGTTATAGAGCTGGGACCAAAAGCTAAATCTCTTAACCCTTTTCCAGTACTCTAAACTAGGGAATGGACTAGATATAAAAAACAGTGGGATGGACTAGATTAGTGACCCTTGCCATTTCTATTCTTACATTCTAATAGAAACCAAAAGGCCATTTTACTTCTGAAACTGACTACAACATTTAACTCTCTAAAAATATTAATGGCTTAGTTTATGGAAATTCCACAGACTACCTGTGTATTCCTCCATCAGCATTTGTAACCCCAGTGGTGCAATACCTAACTGTAGCAATTTTTAGCAAAACGGTCCCAATGACTGAGAAGAGCTTCAAGAGATATTTTTGAAAAATTGATAAGAATTGACAAGGGAGGTAATTGTCACTCCATTATTGGAGATTCAAATGTGCATTCATTCATTAATTCATCCAACAAACATCTTAGTGCCCACTATGAGCCAGGCTTTGTGATAATCACTAGAGATAAAAAGATGAATAAGACATGGTCCCCTTCCTAGAGGAGCTTGTAATCTAATGGGGAAGACAGACATATAAACCAGATAAATTATATTGCAATATAAGTACTTGTAACAGAGATATGAACAAAGCGCTGTATTAAAAGGGAGAGTAAAGTTATGAACTGGCTAATGACCAAGAAGTCCACTAATATTGTGCAAGAACTACACATTTATTGCACACGATTTCATGCTCAATCAATTAGAAAGGAGGTAGCAATATAGTTTTTAAAAAACTATAGCTGGCACTGAAATCAGAATGAGTGCATTCAATTCTAGCCTTTCCATGACTAGCAGTGTTTGGACAAGTCATTCCATCTCTATTATCCCAAATTTCCTTATCTGTAAAATGGAAATTTAACAGCTGATTTAAAGGGATAGCTTAAGTTTTGAATGAGAATAGATGAAAGTACATGTAGACTACTAGAACTTATAAACATATTAATTTTAAAAACTCAATAGCAATGAAAATCTAAGTAATATTTACAATTAAAATCATTGCTAAAAATATAATTGTGAATCTAATGAATGTTGCTAATATTTAATCCCCATACTTCTGGACCAAACTGATATATACTTGTCTTCTGATTCATTCACAGCAAAATGGCTTAAAACATTTTAATTTTAGGTTACTAGAGAATGTAAAACTAGGAAGAGTAATTACCTATTTGTGAATTTAAATAATAGGTAATTTCAGTTACATAATAAGGGATTTTACAGTAATTTTAAAAATATCAGGCTAAAATTTACTAATCAAATTATAAAGCCAAAAATCAGCATGGAGATTTAACTGGCCTTTGAAATATTTTTTTTTCTTTATAATACCTGTTTGGTGTAAAAAGAAGAAACGTGAGCCTCTGCCAATTTGGCAACTTTCACGACTACTAAAAAGAAAAGAAAACAAACTTACCTAACAAATCAGAATAGTATATAGTCAACATAGAAGAGACTACACAAAAATCTATCTTAGATCTAACGATAGTGAAGAAGTTTTTGAGTAAAGTCACTATTTGGACAAAAGAAATCTGACTTTGAAATTTTAAATATAAACATATGCACTAATTGCAAGTCAAAACATTCCTATGAAATAGTATTACCATCAAGAACATTATATAACTTTAACCCTAAGTATGGAAAAAATCCACTAGTCACTCCACTGGTAGAAGAGTGTGGGTGGTGGAATTACAGTTTGTGATTGTGAGGACCAGAGTATGGAAAGAAAGTTATGTTTTTGATGTGACTTTTAATATAATCACTATAATCTCAGGAGGGGCAGAAATACTTGTAAACAAAATGATGAATTTAAAAATATAATTATGTATCCTCCCACCCCTTTATACTACAAAGAATGCATTTATATTCTGTATCAACTTTAAGTGATCACGTTCACTTGCCAGAGAAATCCACTTAAAAATCACAATGTTGTAAATGTCAAGTATTTTTATACAAATATAGGAAACGCACACTTAAAATATCAGACTGAAACACTTACCAAACTGTTTTCCTAAAGTAGTATCTATAGTACATTTCTTTATTCATACATCTTCAAATGGTCAAGTTTTCTTTCATACATCCAAAATGTAATGTGATGGTTTTCTTATTCACCAAATGTTAGCTCTACTTGAAGTCTGGTTCCAAACTAATCAGCCTGCTTTTAAATTTTAAGACATCTGTTGAAAATTTATAGGATCAAACCAAACTGAAGTGGTATAAATTTTAAACATTGGATTGTACATTATTATAAAGGTATCAGTAACCATTATTACTAAGAATAAGTTAGTGATTATAGCTCCTTTTGTGATAATTGGGGGAAAGGGTAGATCACCATCAGGAATGGTCTATTTTAACTTTTTTTTTCCTTTCTTTTTATCTTTTTTTTTTTTTTTTAAATCAAAGAACATCGTCTTGGTTGTGTGTTGTTGTTTTTTTGTCATTGCTTTTTTTTTTCTTTTCTTTTCTTTTTAAAAGACCATTCCACTTTATTTTAAACATCTGAATGCATAAGGAGAGTCATATGCAAAGCAGTCATACACCATTATCATTGAAACCCATATGGTAAAATACATACACAAGTCCAACAAAAGGCTAATACATAGTAAAGCCTAAGCATACTACTATGTAATATTATGAATACATACTTGGAGACTTTAGTTAGAGTACTATGTTATCTATTCATTTTTGAAAACATTCATTAAGATTTTAAATGCAAATTCATTCCTTATTTGGAGTAAAACAAATTTCTCTAAATTATTACAAGTATTGGTCATAAGTTTTCAGACCTATTCATTAAATTACAAAGAACCCGAAGAATTCTGTATTGTTCAGTAGAAGTATGTAATAAAAACATTGCATGTTTCTAGTGTGATGTCTTTAGCAATTGTTTACTGAAATAAAATGCAAACATCAATCTTTCAAAATACAGGATCAGAAGGTAGTTTTCTTTTCTTCTATTTGTGAAATCCATCTTCATCACATTTACCAAAAATTGTTTTTACAAATATGTAAAAGTACATTAGATAATACTAATGAAACACAGGTAGAGTTCTAGCATGTGCAGATCAATGATCAGTCAAATCATCTTCTCCAAGAACGAGATTCATTGTCCTCTTCTTCTTCATCATCATCTTGAAGTAATGAGTCATCCACCATAGACTCTTCCTGAAACTTTAGGTTAAAATGCATTTAGGAATTTACCCAAAAAAAAAAGAAAAGAAAAAAGGTGACACTTTTAAATACTGATTTCTCTCAACAGAGTCGAATACAAAAGGTATTGCTATAGCTAGGACATTCAAGAAATAAAAAGCAACCTTTACTGACTCAATGGTTTCTCTACAGTATCTATTCTATTGCTTGCATCAAACAGGCACTAAAGAATTATCAAAGTAAGCCTTTATACATGCCGTTTCTCCTGCCTCTCTTTACCAAATAATGCTATCTTCTCTATACCTACAAAACATTGTTTATTATCTTTTTTTTTTTTTTTAAGAAAACATCAGTAAGTCTTCTCTGACTTACCCTAATGCTGGACACTAAATCAACCAATAAGTTGTATAAAAGTCTATCCAGATTTTCTACTGTACGTAAACAAACATTTTCTTTATAGCATTCCTTTTCTCCATTCCTTTCATAAAAGCTTCTCAGACTGCTTTTCAAAATACCTAATACCAGGAGCTCTCCTGCTTTTCTCCCCATTCAATTCAAACTCATGGAAGGACAAAGGTATAATCTAAAATATAAAATGACAAATCATGTATATGAGTTTCAAAACACACAATTTATTCTTGCATTTGACTATGGATATGTGTTAACAGCCTTGAATGCTCTTCAAACAAAATGAAGTGACACTGATAAGCTAACAGAGATAAAACATGTGTTTGTTTAGTGTCCCTACCTTATCTTTATTTTTTAACTTCCTCAACTCTCTCCTACAGCTTATTTCATGATTAAACAAATAGAGTTGCTTATTTCTAAGTCTGGGGTTGTTCAAAGGGCTCACTGGTCTTTATGCTCACAAGTCTCAGACTAACTGCTGTTACCCAAGAAAAATGTAATCTCTACAATTATCCCTCTGCTCAAATATGCCTCTCAACTATATTCCTCGTCCAAGCTCTTGGTTTATGGAAAGTTTTATTATCACTTAGGGTTCAGTTCCAAGGTCACCAACTCCTTCAAGATTCTTATGGACAGAAATAATCACTCCTTCCTTTGGATTCCAACAGCATATTGTTCAAATCTTTATTCAGCATATCAGTCTGCCTTTTATTATAATTTGTTTCTTATGTGTCTGTCAGCACCACCCCCTTTCCAGTTTATAAGCTCCTTGATGATAGGGACCGTGTCTTATTCATTTTTATGCCTATCACAGTATCTACCATATACCAGGCATTCATTCTAATGAACTAAAACAATATGAATTAAAATAAAAAGTACCTGAAATGTTAATAAAGCAATTGAGAATATATACTTTAAAACTTGAAATATTACAAGATTTCCTATGGATAAAAAATCTAACAAATAATTATTCTTTTAAGAATAAATGAAAACTGAGTGAGTGTGTGTGTGTGTGTGTGTGTGTGTTTGCATATATTCTTTTTGGATTAGCAATCCACAGATTTCATTAATCCAGAAAATTTAAAGTTGTCTGCATTTATCTGATATCCCCTGCCTGAAATATGGCTCAGGAATAAAAGTTTTATGTTAAAAATCACAGCCATAAAATCACAATTTATATAAAAATGTGAACATTTAAGGGCAAAACCAAGTGAAAAAAACAAACATACTTCCTCTTCATCAGGTTCAACTTCTTCTGTTTCAACAGCTGAAATATTAGTTATTGGTTTATTCCATGCCAGTTTTAGATCCTGCCCTTTGAAACGAGCTCCATGAACTGCAGCCTAAAATAATTAAGAACATTGGAATATAGAACATTAATAATTTCTGAAGGAAAAAATATTATAGCACCTAATATTTAAATTAACTCACCTAAACACAGTGAAGACAGCTGTCTATTAATTTGACTTGTGGTTATTTACTGAATAACTATTTACTACTTATAATAATTTGCTTTATATGGTTATTTCTAAAATTAGCCTAGGGATTGGAAATTCCTTTAAAAAGAAAACAAGAACAATTTCTCACAATTGATTAGAGCTAATTCAGTACTCGCCATTATTTGACTAGAAAAACTATGTCTATATGTTTACAATATAATAATTGCCATTTAAGGCAATAGTCTCAAAGTACTTCAAGATCCTGAATCAAAGTCTAAGTTAGAATCAACAGGCTAAATGTATTTTTCTGCATTTTAATTCTTATAAATGACATATATAGTAACTATAAACTAGAAATTTTTAATAGAATTAAAATAATTTTGCATGCATAAAGTATCACATTATTTTTATATTATATCACATGATCACAAATTGATATATCACTATTATAAAATATAAATATCTCAATGAAGGAAAAATATGGAACTTTTCTATAAAGTAGTTTCTACAAAGCTTCCAGAATTGCATATAAAACTTATTAGTAAATAGTAAAGTCTAAATACTTGCTGCATTAACTGGCTGCTTTGGAAATAGTGGATTCAAATTAAAGTAACATGAACTAACATAAATCAATGTAAGCAACATACCAAAATAACTCATAGTCACAAAAGATTTATAGCACAATCTCAAAGTACAGTACAATGTGAAATGTAGAAACAATTACACGTTCAATGACATCTGACCATGAGTTGTGTGACATTAAAGTCCCCAGGTATAAATTTTAAATCTGCACATATAAATTTGTGACAAATCTAAAGGATTCCATGTCTAATAAAATGCAGCTCAGGAGTTTTTAGTCCATGGCCTCCTCACAATGTCATATAACTAAAAAATTTTAAAGTACATATATATGAGATTTAAGTCCAGAAACAATTTGTAATTTTTCAGGCTGTAGCTATTATATCTTATATAAAAAAGGCTAATATGCAAATCAACTGAATGGCAGAACAACCAGTCACTATAACACGCACCGACCACCAGGGGGCAGATGCTCAATGCAGGAGCTGCCCCCTGGTGGTCAGTGCATTCCCACAGGGGGAGCGCTGCTCAGCCAGAAACTGTGCTCAAGGCTGGCGAGCGCAGCGGTGGTAGCAGGAGCCTCTCCCACCTTCGTGGCAGCACTAAGGATGTTCAACTGCCAGCTTAGGCCCACTCAGTCAGACATCCCCCGAGGGCTCCCCGACTGTGAAAGGGTGCAGAGCGGGCTGAGGGACCCCCCGAATGCACAAATTTCATGCACCGGGCCTCTAGTATACTATAAGAAAAAAAGAACTCAGAATATTAAACTTTTATTCCCAGAAATTATATTATTTGTGGTAAAGGTGGTATTTTTATTTTCAGACTTACATATAGAGCACATAACTAATTATGCTGGTGTCAGTGAAATGTTGAGTTTTCAGCATGAAAAAAGAAGATAGAGCTATGAAGACCCCTGAGATTAAGTAAAACCCTTATAATCCAGAATTAATTTACAAGTATTAGTAAAGGCTCTTTCTTTCTTCCTACCTACCTACCTCTCTATGTATACATATATGTGTGTATATGCATGTGTGCATAAAACTCCTAAAGTTCAGAATTAAATGGAACATATCAGTAGTTGCTTTGAATTTATTTTATTTGTACAGGGTATATGTGAATATGTGTATAAGTATATGTGTACATGTGTGTATGAATGTACGTATATTTTTTTCACTCCCAGCTACGATCACTGAAAAGAATTAGTGACTGTAATGTACGCAGTAGTAATAAACATCTGTAGTACTTATACTGTGGTTTCAAAAAACCTTTGCTCTGTAAAAACAATCAGAGCTCCTTAGAGAAATGGCCAGCTTTCAGGTCTTGAAGAGAAAATGTATAAGATGAACTCAGAACACTTTTCATACCAGAAAGCAAAAACACTATCATAACCCATCAGGATTCTGTCAAAAGGACTGTTAACGAACTTGTATACTAGCCACAAAAATGGGATAATCTATACTAATAAAAGACTATGTGGTCATCACACCCTCACACCGTGATGCCCTCATGCCATAACAATCCATCACCAGGAGGCAGCGTGCGCCGTGGGTGCGCAAGGGTGGGCGGGGCTGCGTGCGCAGCGAGGTGCGTGGGTGGGCGGGGACTTAACGCTGTGTGTGTGGCACGGAGGCGGGTTCCGGCGGCTCCATGCAGAGCCACGGAGGCAGGGTCCAGCGGCTCTGTGTGGCACAGAGGCAGGATCACCGGCTCCGGCCTACCTCTTTGGGGCAATCCATTGAGGAGCCCCAGATGGGTGGGCGGGGCCTATCTCTTTGGGGAGATCCATCGCGGGGCTCCCGCACTGTGAGAGGGCACAGGCCAGGCTGGGGAACCCCCACCCCAAGTGCACGAATTTCGTGCACTGGGCTAGTACATAAATAACTGAGAACAATGGACCAATACCCATAATATGTTTCAAGCTATAAGTTATGATGGTATAATACCAATCAAGCTATCTCAAAATATAAATCTTATTTTGGATCCTTAAATAAAATGAGTAAAAAAATTTTAAGAAAACCAGGGAAATGTAAACCTTAACTGGGTATTTAATAATGCCTAGGAAATATCAATCATTTTTTAGGTCTAGTAAGAGTATTGTGTTTTATTTTTTTAAGATTCTAACATTGAGAGACACACTAACATGTTTACAGGTGAAATGATATGATGACTGAGAGTGGGTCTAAAATAAAGACAAAGAGGATTATAGTGGGTGAGATATAGACAAAATAAGATGGGCTGCAAGTGGGTACTAACTAAAGGTTTATGATGAGTATATGGGGGTTCATTTCACAAGTCTCTCTAATTTTCACATTATGAAATGTAAAGAAAAACTATATTTAAAAGCTCAAGCACTTTATTCATAGGCTTGCTCTAGCCCTTTGCCTATTTATTCTTGCACATCGTCAAAGTTTGCAGTCATACACAGAAGGAAAAAAAGGCTGAAGATGTGACAAATGATGGAGGAAGAAAAAAGTATGGAAAGTAGTTTACCAGTATGTGATGGGTTCAATATCTTACCTGGAAAATGGTTCTGGAAATAATTAACATTTTGAAAAAATGGGGTTAAACAAAATTAAACAGAAGTGTTTACCTTCTGCCTTTACAAGTCAATTTAGGTTGTGAATCTAAATAAAATATACAAAATGCAGCTTTTCACAAACTTATCTGACAAAAGAATTCTTTGTTAGGGGAGCTCTTGTAGAATCAGTGTTCTGTAAAAACAGTGTGGGAAAACTGACCTAAGGTCATAAGAGTTAAAGCTGCAATCCTATCCTAGCGTACCTTACGTACCATATGATTAAAGCTCATTTTTAAAAGAAGGCTAAAACCAAGTTTATTAATGTTTGTAATAACCACAGTATACAATGTTTATGCAGGAGTTACATTAAACGGCCACAAATTTAAAAAGAAAGTAAATTCTAATTTTTTAGAACTTACAGGGAAAGAATTCTTTCATTCCTTTAACTCTTGAGTTCAAACTGCATGGCCACTTTCCAACAAGTTTTAGACAGATTTACTAATTCTGGTAGCACACTGCCCATCATATGGCAGTACTTAGTAACTGTTAAGTAAATCAGTAAAAACATACACAAAGGTTCTTCTATACACATGATTTGATTTCTCTTAATTGAAACCACTTACATATATTGTTCTTGCTATTAATTTAATATTTATTCAGTCAGCCCCATCAACTACTAACTGCTTATGTTGCACTAATTCTATGAACCCAATTTTATATTTCTACCTTCAGGTATAAAGAATGAGAGTTTTGAAGTAATTTACTCTTTCTTGTCTTTATTCAGTTTCCAATCATTTCTCATTCTGAAAAGAAACCCACAGTGATATTAATAACAGCTAACATTATAGCCAGAATTAAGAAGGTTTACTATGTCCCCAGGCATTGTTCTAGGTAACTTTGTAAGTTTTGAATTAGTAAATCCTCACCATTCTCTAGAGAAAAATTTCTTTGATGCTACCTTACCACACCACACAATGCCAAACTGTATGATTAAATATAGAGTAAAACTTTAAGGAGAGAAACACAAGATAATCTGTTAAAAACAGTTTGAGGCATGGGTGTGAAAAAATGCACTCGTAGAACAAGGTTCACTTTCCTTTTGATATAAAAAGATATACACCTCTTTGTGTTTAGAACTGATTCTTATAAAATAGGAACTTAACTGTTCCTTTACTAAAATTGGATCCTTGTATCTTACAGAGGTATAGGAATAATTCAAAGTAGCAAAAATATCATTCTAATCAGTCATGAGAAGAAACTACGTTTTTCTATCCTGTTTGGGTACTTATCCAACTTTAGTACATAGGGTGGTGATAGGAAAATAGAAAATACAACAGCAGGAACCATCTTCTGACTAACTAAATCAAATCATAACCATCTTAGACTAAAGCTAAAAGTGTTCTGTTTATATTATTATTCCTTAAAATATTTTTATCTTTTTTCCTAGGGAAAATTTCTCCCTTTTCACTTGTTATATTTGAACTAGAGGCCCGGTGCACGAAATGTGTGCACGGGTGGGGTCCCTGGGCCTGGTGAGTGATCAGGGCCGATTGGGGCCAGGCCAATCAGGAGCAGGCTGGAGAGGAGGCGACGGTCGCCAGGCCGGGTGCGGAAGGAATGGACACCAGATGCCAACACCGCCATCACCGGCGCCCCGCCACCACATGGTTCCCTGCCTCTCCCCCTCCTCCTTCCCTCGCTGCCGCACTACCACTACAGCGGGCGGGTGGGCGGCAGGCTGAACAAGGCCTGCCAGCAAGGCAGAGGGATGGGGCACAGGAGGTTGGCTGCCAGCCCTGAGGAGGGA